CACGACGCTATTGAGATAGAGAGGTTTCTATGTCACCCATGCCTAGCATGAATCCTCCTACACCTGGTGTAGGTGAGGTAGAAAACCTCCGAGTCTCATGTGCTTGACATGGAAAAAAACCCATGCTCAGTCTTAACCAAGTAGAGAGTTTCTACCTAAATCCACTCAACCTGCGCCTAACATCATTTAAATAGTGATCCACTAGCTCCATCATGCTAGGCACCACACCTTCAGGGCTTAGCATCACAAAGTCAGAGAATTCTCGAGTTTTAATGCCTAACCTTACTCATTCCACGTCTAGTATGGCTAAGTTAGAGAAATCATCTCGAATCCATAAGAGATGCTACTAATCACGTGTCTGGTGTGATCAGGGTAGAGAAACCCTCTAACTTGAGTGACGCTTAGCATAATGAATGCGCGTCGAATGCGATGTTTATTTTTATGCATAATAGAAATACCATTTGGCTCAAAACCTACAATCCAACCAACCAAAACAACATGCAACACATCATATAATATAAATAGTATATAGACCATAAACAATACCAAACTAACTCTAGATAAATCATGCAACCATGTAACACCAAATTCATCAATTTATTCAAGAAACTACATTTTGAAGAGAACTTTTCAACAATACTTAAAATTGTGATCTTTACCAATTTAATCATGCAAGTGACAAATTTCATTAACAATGAACATCAACATAGTAAATCAAATAACAAAGTTCCCTTTAACTCAACTCCAAATTCAAGAAAAAGATGAAGAAAAGAAATAACTCTTAATCATCATTTAATTTATGATTTTGTTGACTGATTTGCCAGTTTGAAATAATTGTGACTGTATTTTTGTAATTCCTGAAATTTGTAATTATTTTTATTTCATTTAATGCAATTTTTTGGTCATATACACCGCGCGACAATGAATTAAAAAATAGTGTTCTAAAAGATAAATAATAGTAGAAAATAGAAAGAATTGTGGTTAGTAATTACCGAGCAATATGATCAGGGACGGAGCCAGGATTTCAATACTGGGGGGCCGAGAATTGGAATGATCAAATGAGGCGCTACATTTTTTTTAAAAAAAAAATTCCAAAGGGAAACCAAAAAGAAGGCCGTACCAGAAGTCCAAAAGTTGAAAAAAAAAATAAATTTGGGTTATTCATTTAATTATACCTATGAGTTTATATTAAAAATAGGGGGTGCCATATAGTACTATATATGTATATAAAAAAAATTAAAATTGTTGGGGGGGCCGTGGCACCCGTAGGTCCCCCCTTGGCTCCGTCCTTGAATATGATATATACAATTTTGATAATGCTTTGTGAAAAATATATTTTATATCGCAAACTTGTTAATTTCGTATCACATTTAAATAAAACGCTCCAGATTATTTATGTCTGAATAAAATGTTATTTATATTTAATAAAATGCTACCAAAATTTACTCAAAAGTTTTTATTTTACTTGAATAAATAAAAAAATTTATTCAATTACATTAATTGTTGAAAAACGGAAACTTTCATTCAAATAGATTTGTTTTTATTTACTTTTAAAAGTTTATTTTATTAAGGAAACATATTAAGGGAGAGAGAATATATTATGAGAGATGAAAGAGTTAAAATATAACTCTTAAATTAATCAAGTGAGAGAAAATTTAAGATTTAATGAAGTGAAAGAAAATTAATCTAAGAATTATATTTTAACCCTCGTCTCGCATAATAAATTTCCTTTTACTTAATATGCTTCCTTTAAATTAATTCTTATCTATAAAATACTACTTTAAATTAATTATTTATTTTATTTCAAAATATTATTTATTTAGGTATATAAATTTTGTCTAAATAAATAATAAAAATATTTTAATATTTTTATTTTCTATTTTTTACTATATTGTTTTTTCTTGTCTTTTTTATATACTTTATTTTCACTTTATATTTTACCTCATTTATTCCTCAATTTACCAAACACACCAATAATGAAAAAGATATTGTAAAATTTATAGAATTGTTAATATTTACGCCAGTATCGAATAAATGACATGTAATGAATGAAAAAATAAAAAATGTCGGGTGATTTGATGTCACAGACATCAAGAAAAGGCAACTTTTAAAGCCGGCATATTAATAATGTGCTGGCCCCTGATTCCTCATAAAAGTTTTACTCTAGTTCACCATTTTCCACCTTCGCACACTAGTTTCATTTTTAAATTAAGCAGCACTTTCGTGCTCGTCGTGCTACGCATAAGTAAAAACATGCTATGCTAGGTTTCCCGTTTCCATCCGTGGGCACACCGCATTCCGTCTAAAAATAAATCTGAAAATAATTTTCATATTAACTTCAAATGAAATATATTATGTAAAAAATGAATATTATATTACATGATTTTAATTAAGAAAAGAGTTAATTTTAAAGGTAGTATTCTTCATAGTTTATTTATGAATTTATAAAAAATAACTTGGAATGGACAGAAAATGCAGAAAAGAAGTGGAATGATGAGGTAAAAATGAATGTAGTTAAAAAATGTATAGATGAGTAAGTTGCGGAAATAAAGGGAATTTGAATAGATGGGGACGCGCTTTGAATAGCGAATGGGTCTAATGGTAGTGGAAAATATAGGAGAACCAGTCGTCTGACTAGAAAAAGAATGGCATCATGCTGATACCCACACGCTCGCTTCGCAGTTCCCGCTCCCCCTCCCACACTCGCGCGTCACTCACACTCGCTCCACGTGCACCCTACGCTTCTCTTTAACCACTCTTTGCTCTTTGCACTTTTCAACCACAACCATCATGTCTAACGCTCTAAATTCATAGACATTGATACTGATTACTGAATGTATATACATTAGTAGCATATATTCATAGCTTCTTTTTTTCTTCATTCACCTAATGTTAGACAGAGTCACATGGACAGATAGATACTCTCATACTCATACTCCCTCTACGATACAATACAACGCTAACATAACCTAAGCATGAAGAGGGAAAATTAAAATAACAAAAAACATAATTAGAAAAGAGGCTAGGGAAGCTAAAACGACGCCGTGGAAAACCTCACTCATAGCCACAAGGGTGGAGGCTCGTTCAAGTCGATGGGGATGCCGCGCCGGACCAGTCCCAAAAACGACGCGGTCTGCGAGTGTGAGCTCTCCACCACCTGAACAGCGGCGGAGGCCTCGCCGCGACGGTGAGGGACGGCGGAGGGAGGCGGGAGCGGCGGATCGATGTCCTTGAGAACGGCGGTGTGGAGGAACTCGGTGAGGACGAGGGCGCGCGAGGGGAGGGGCGGCCAGCGGTGGTGATCGGAGGAAGGCGCGTTGAGGTCGAGGCAGAGCGGCGGAGGCGGAGGGAAGTTGGTTTTGGCCTTGGCGCCGCGGAGGGAGCGGGCGGCGGCGTCGTAGGCGAGGGCGGCCTCCTCGGGCGTGTCGAAGGTGCCGAGCCAGACACGTGTCTTCTTCCAGGGGTCGCGTATTTCAGCGGCGTAGCGTCCCCAGGGTCGCTTCCTAACCCCTCTGTAGTGTCCGTCGCGAGAAGAGGAGGAAGAGGCCATGAGCAATGAGCAATGAGCAATTAGCATTGAATATTGAATGTTGATGTATATAAAACTGGAGGGGCCCACATAAGCTCCCGTAATTGTCGGCTGCCCGGCACACCCCACCCTTTTCCCTTTTCCCTTTTCCCTTTTATCCACGTATGTTTGGATAAAATCAATCAGGACCGTTCATGCCATCCGAGGGTGCAGCTGACGTATGCCCTACTCATTGTGTGCGCCGCGCCTGACATTATTTAATGCCATTTTCAGTTGACGTAATGGGAATGGGAAAGGTAGGCTTGGAGTTCCTGCTGTGACAGAGACTCCCACGTGGAACACTGTCTCACTTGCAGGGAACACCTCAACTTGGGCCGTATGGGCCGTCTTTCACTCATTGGGCTCACGTCTACCCAGTTTTACTTTCTTTTTTCTCTCCTTCTTTCGATCATAATGATATGATTCTCTCTTTCCCAGCACCACGACAACTGCTTTTCTATTCTCTCTTTTTTTATTATTTTTATTATTTAGCTTTTCGTCTCGCTTTGTATACTTAATGATGATATGATAGGACGGCAACTTTTTTATTTGTTCCTTTTTGTGTGCTCCGTGGGATGTTTTTGTTACTATTTATTTACTTTCTTCTGTCTTTCAAACAACTTGTCTGCATATACATCTGCATCTGCACTGCATGGATGCTTGGGAAACTTGACTTGTGATACTCACACCATTTATTATATGAAACAGGTTATCAGTAAAATAATTCTTATTATATTATATTTCATCTCACTCTACGAATAGAATAAGGAGAATCACTGACAAAAGAGAAAGAAGGCTCCCAACAATTTAAAGATAATTCCAATACCCCTAACAATCCCACTTCAATTATTTTATCTGATTTATTTCTGTACCGTGGTGGTCTCTCATTGGCCAACCCGATATACATCGACAAAATGCACAATGGAGGTTCCCAAAAACCGATCAAACCGAACCTACGCAATACCAACCCATATGCGTAATTCATATTAGTTTTACTGTCAAGTATGTTACTTAATATTGTTAATAGTACTTACTTGACATGTTAAATGTGGCATAGGTATCAACTATTTAATATGTGACTTCCAACCAGCAAGACCAAAATAAAAATTTAAGAGAAAAAAAATCATCAATAATTCTTTTTTCTTTGTCTTTCCCTTTCCTCCCATTTCTTTTGTCTGCAACTTTTTTCTATTCTTAATCTTCTCTAACTCATACTAATAAACATCATTGATTCTTAATTTAACTACACAAAACATGTCAATACATATAAATATAAAACAGCATTAAACACCTCTTCATTCTTAATCGTGCATTTTCTTGCTTAAGCTAGTGAACTAGATAGTCAAACTCATGTAAGCATGTTAAATGAAAAACACTCCACTTACCAACTCCCAAAAAAAACCCAAAGTTAATTTCAAATTAAAGCCCAACATTGTAAAAATCTTAACTATTTTCGCCAATCAACAAAACATTGAGATTCCAATTATAAATCTAGAAACTTGCATTAAAAAACCAAACTTGAAGCAAAGTTACAAGAACTTCTCCTTATTTTCCTTAGCCCAGCAACAAGGGTGGGCCTATGCCTCCAACTTCATTTCCAAAAGGTTTAAAGAAGAAGGATAGGTGTAATACCTGAAATTTTTACATAAATAATATTTTTTTTAAAAAAAATTACAAAAGTAACATCTGTACAACATTATTTACTCAACTAGAACCAATCACTGTTCATGCTCAGAATTCGGTTCCCCGGGAACCGAATTCTGAGCTTCAAATTTTCTTTTTTTTTGTGCTCAGAATTCGGTTCCCGGGAAACCGAATTCTGAGTTGTTTTTAATTTTTTTTGCGTTTCTGGGAAGTAGAACGGGCCGTTCCGAAAGCAGAACGGCCCGTTCTGCTTAAACAAATAGAGTGTTATTTTTGAAATTGGAACGGTCCGTTCTGCACCATTCCAATTTCAAAAATAACACTCTATGTGTTTAAGCAGAACGGGCCTTTCTGCTTCTGGAACGGCCCGTTCCACTTCCCAGATTCGACCAAACTGGGCCTCAAACGCAAAAAAAAAAAAAAAAAA